AAAATGAGATTTTACAAGAACAACCAAGTTTTGTGGCGGAAGATTATGAAGTGTTCCAAATTTTGGGAAACGATGATCCTAAAGAAAGGAAAGTTAGAGCCCTCGCGGAAGAGAGGTCATTGTTCATTCATTCTTTTGATGGATATATTAGCTAGAGATTTGATCGCATAAAGAAAAAAAAGAGAAAAGTTATGTTGTTTATTATTTAAACTTGCATATTCATATTCTTTGTTTGTCAAATTTATAAATCTTTCGAGTAATTCTCTTGTCATTAAATTTAAAAACTTCCCTTGTACTTATATTCCGATGCGCAAACGCATAAAAGAAAATCGTTTATATTTGTGATTATATTTCAATAAATCATTCATTTAAAATATTTAAAATATCAATTATAATCTACAGTATGATTCAAAAAATTTTAAAATTGTTTTTATAAAATAATTTTATTAAAAATTATGAAAATTAAAAGAAATCTTCTTGAAAACCTATAATTATAGAAAAGACCATTGATTCATAATTCTATAATTAATGAAAAACTTTATATACGGTATATTGGATTCTAATATAAACGTAATGAAAAAAAACTAAATATTTTTTAAAAAAAAAAAAACAATGAGCAATCATATATTTTATATTTATTTTTATAAATAACTTATTTGATAATATTTTTTTTTAATTTTTTTTTAAGTAGGTAAACATTATTGTTTTATTAGTTATAAAAATTTCATATATGATAAAAGTGATTGCATCTCTTATATAATCAATTGATTAATGAGTTTAATGCTAACTTGTCTATATAGCTCATCCAAACAATAAAGAAAAATAAATATTAAAACTAATATATATCAAAAATAATATTAAATATATATAAGTATTTACTTGGAATTATATGTGATAGAATAATAAAAAAAATAGAAAAGAAAAAATACTTATTAAAAAATATAATAATAATTAATTGTAATATAAAAAATATTGAGATATATTACTCTAATGATTTGACTTTTCTAAAATACAATAATATTTTTTGAAATAATTAAATTATTTTTCAAAAATTATAATAATATTAATAATATGTATTTTTAATAATTGATTAAAAACAAAAAGTCATTATAAAACTCTTTTTCATCACCTTTTTATACTTGAAAATTTCCTTTTTAAAAAACTTTTGAGTTGTTTACTTTTTTTTTGCTTCTTCTCCTTTTTCCTCTCTTTTTTTTTTCTCTTATACTTCTTTAAAATTTTTCTTTTTTTTTCTTTACTCTTTTTGTATATATTCTTTTATTTATTTCTCTTTTTTTTTTCTTTTCTTCTTTCTCTACCAAAGTTAGATTTTTTTTTTCTTTCTGAAGTTTTTTCTTTTTAAATCTCTTTTTCTTTTTGAATATATTGTTCTCTATTTCATTATTCCTCTGGCTAGTCAACTTTCTTTTTTCAAAAACCATATTAAGAATTAATAACTTTTTTCAAGAAATAAGTTTTGACAAATTTTTTTTTTATGATTTCTTAGAAAAAGAACAAATAATTTGCCCTTTTTAAAAGATTGATATAATTATTATTATCAAATTTAACATTCTTTATTTGTTAATAATTAGACTAGATACATTTAAAAAATTATTATATAACTATTATTATTCAAATTTTTAAGATATTACATCTTATAAAATTTAGAACAAAATATTAATTTATATCAATATAGACTTTTTACAAATGTTATGTTAAAAGTCTAATAAGATAATATATAGTGATTAAACATTCTAGTTACCTTTACAAACAGAGCTAATAATAATAATAAAAGTTTCTTGCTTATCTCTCAATAATGTAGATCTTATATGCAAGACTAAGTATTAATATTTATAAGAAAATCTAATTTAACTCTATCTATTGGACACTTTCACCATATTTGAATAATAAATATATCAAATTCTTCTTATAATTTGAAGACCAATCTGTATAAAGTGGCTATAGTTAAAGATAAGTTTTTAAATTATTTGTAAGGATATAATTCAAATGTCTTTTATTATTAAAAATTTTTATTTCTATATTAAGAAATAAAAAAAACTACCTATAAAGGTTCTTTATAGTTTTAAGTATCTATATAAATCATTTCTGGAATTATGTTTTTATTGAAATAAAGAGCTAGAAATTATGTTCTTTAGGGGACGTGGATGTAAAGAGACGTAAATTTTATATGCTAAATATTTTAAGAACCTATCTTTAACGAGAAAATCACAATTTCAATGCCTACTGGATTAATATATGAAATGGCTTCTTATAAGAAACAATATATGACTGGTTATAATATCAGATACTATATTAATTCTATTTAATTATCTTTATATAAGATTGAACTGATATCTTGTGATCTAATCTATAGAGTATTAACCATTATATTATGGATCCATAGATTTTAGATTAACAATATTTTTATTATACATGTGATCATATTACTATAAAAGAAAATTTGATTGACAATATGATTCTAAATTAAATACGAATTCCAATTATTTACTATATATTACTTAGTAATTCTACCATAATATGGTTTTTAAAAAATGATTGAATTTAATTCCACCACATATATAATTTTTATAAATAAATATAATAAAAATTTATTTATAAAAATCAAAGATAAAAAATATTTTATTAAAAAAAAAATAATGAAAAAAATTTTTTTCCAAAGATTTTAGATTTATAAAAAAAATAAATACTTGATTTTTGAAACTTTTTTTTGTTTTTTTTAAGTTTTTTTCAAGTATATAATTTTTTATATATTTTTTAAAAAATTTTATCTATTTTAATTTGATTCTGAATATTTGATTACATTAAATACTTAAATATTAATTAATCAAAATTTTGAATTGAATAATTAATATATAATAAAATATAAACAAAATATATTATATATATATATATTATTTTGTATAATAAAAATTTAATAATAATATTAATTACAAAAAAGAGCAAAATAAAGAAATATTTTTTTTAAGACCTGTGAATCCATAGTACAGTGGGTAATGCTCCCAGATTTTCAAATGCATATCCCTAGTTCAATACCCACGGTGACAAATGCACAATAAATTATCCTTCATTTGTGAGTTTACTGGTTTTCTTACAAATGTCATACCCAAATATCCGAATCTTGTCCAAATTTAGTTAGGCTGCATAAAAATGGGACCTCTGGTCTTTTTGACAATCGCGGGCTGAAAACAGGTTGAAGCAGAAAAAGTTACATAAGGAAAGGTTTTTGGTCTAACTCTGGTAAAAGCCTATAACCCCTCTTGGCATAGCAGACTCTGTAGCATAAAGAACACTCTAGCCTGGGGCTATTCCAATCTGGCGCTTGCTTAAAAGAAGAGGACTCCAAAAAGGAAATCTGAAGCCGCAGGTGGTGGCAAGGAGTATAATACCTTCTCTGAAGAATCAGGCGAAAAATATTCAGGATATCCAGATGTTCTAATCATCCTTGTAAGGTATATAAGCTCTCCGCCTCATTGGATTAACAGGTTTAGATAGTTTAAACTGGTGGCAGGATTTCCATCCCTTGGATTAATTCCACCTGATGTATGGATACATTTACTTGATATAAGTTTATATAGTTGGGTATTAAGGTGGATATATAGCTGTTACTAGAAATAGTTAATAGGCAGTGTTAATTCTATATATAGAAGACATAGTAATGTAATCAAAAATTGAACTATATATAGAAAACACTTGATGTCATATCTCGATAGTAATTATCAATAAAGATTTACATCGATGCATGTTCACCTTAAAAAAAAAATATATATATATATATATATATTTTATTAAAATTATTTAATATTTCTTTTTTTTTTTTATAAAAATTTGATTTTTTTTTTATAATATTAAAGAAAAATTTTATTTCAATCTAATAAAAAACTCATTTCATTATTAATTATTTTAAAAAAACAAATAGTAAGATCAAGTAGCAACAAAATATTATTTTAAATAAAAAGTTTTTAAACAATAAATTTTATTATAAGTATATTTTAAATATTTTGTTTTATAAAAAATTAATAAAAATTGGATGATTTTTAGTTGCAAGTAATTAGACTAGAGATTGCTATTAAAAATTTATTATTTATTAGTACAAACTTTTTATTTTTTATTTTTATTTCTTAAAATTACAAGATTATATTAAAAAGAAAATTTGAATATAGGTTGGCTTTAATCTTTTAAGATAAAGATTTTGATATTTAATTTTTTAAAAAAGCAATCTTTTTGTTTTTTACAATTATATTCAGAAAGTTGGGATTTGAAAATTTTAAAATAATTAATATTTGCAATAATAGTTTAATAAGTCTATTTTCTTATAGTGAAATAATTAATAAATAGTTAGATTATATAGTAACATGGTAATCTTGATATTAAGAATTCAAGAATCATATGAAAATTCATAAATAACTTATTGACAGATATTTTGCTACTAGGAATAATTATCTTTAATACTTTTATTGTATTATTATATTTTTGTACTATTATTTTTGTATACAAATTAATAAACACATCAGTATACATTTTAATATTATATGTAAAATTTACAAATTATATGAAAATTAATTAACATATAAAGAAATATCATTTTAAAATTAATAAATCCAAAACTTTTAGATAATATAATAATTTTATAAATTACTAAAAACATAAAATTAATTTATTATTAATATTATTAAAATCAAAATAATACAAGTATTACTATTTTTATTGTTTAAACGTAAAATATTTTTATTAGTGTCCACATTACTAAAAAAAAAATAAACAAGAAGTCAATATTTTAAATTAAAAAAATATTTATTTTTTAAACCTCAATTAGACTTATTTATACAGTATATGCATAATTATAATTCATCATATTTAGAAGATTTCAGTTCCGCGAAACATTAATACGGTTCGCGGATTTTTTGACTACATGACGATCAGTAATAAAGCTACAAGTCCACAAATTCGCCCGTATAAAAACAGCCACTGTATCACTTATTTTTGGTAAAAAATTTTGCTCCTTAGAGTATAAACGCTATAATAATTGGATGGAAATTATATAAATGATACATTTATCAAGAAATTAGAAAAAAAATGTTTTTTTCTCTTAAGAAACGTATTTTTAAAAAATTTCTTGTAAAGTTGAGTAGAACTAATGCGAACAGTGCAGGTCTTTACGTTTTATTTTTATTATTATCGGCTTCATATCTAAATTTTAGCTACTCGCATTGAATTGTTAATTTCCGAATTATTTATAATTCACGTGATCGACAATAGTGATCGACACGTAGAATTTCGCGAATTTCGCAAAATCGCGAGAAATTTTTAATTAAACTTCGCGGAATCAATATTGCTCTAATATAATTTAAATTAATTTTTTGCGTAATAAAAGTATAAATAAATAGTTAATTATATTTAATGTTTTTATAAGTTTTTGTGATAATAATTTTTTTGACAAAATACTTTTAATTAATTAAATTCTTTTATTTATAAATAAAAATTTTATAGAAATTATGTAAATCATTAATAAATCATTTATAATTTTATAATATAAGATTTTTATTTTAATTATATTAGAGCAACAAAGGTTCCGCGAGATTTATTTAAACTGTCTTGGCGATTTCGCAAAATTCGTTACGTGTCGATCACCTGGTTAATCACGTGACATGAATACGATGGGCATAATTCGCCGAAAGCACGCCTGCACAGGTGCACAGTCGCTGTACGAGTGACGCACGGGGAGCATTTTTCTGCACCCAAAATAGTAGCTGAAACTCTGCTATTGTAATCGGAGTATTGTGCTGTAAAGAAATATCTAAAATAAGATATTTATTGCCTAATCCGAAGAAAGAAATACCTAAAATAAGATACTTATTGCCTAATCTGAAAAGTGTTAAATACGTTTCACTGTAGTAAATATATCCATATTTTACCATAACACTAGAATTATGTGTGCACAAATAAAAAAAACAATCTACCGATTATAAAAATGATAAAAACTATAAATTAGGTCAAGGAACACAGGTTGAACTTTCTTCAATTTACTTCTATTTTTATTTTCCTGGGTATTGACATGGAACTACTTCAACCTTCAAAATCCTCGTACACCAAAGCTAGCGACAAAGCATGGTTCACTTATGCACAAAATGGAAATGAATTTCAACAAGGACTTTTAGGCCTCACTGACTCATATATAGCTGGCAGTCTATGTCTTCAATTCCCCAAGGATGGACCTTTGAAGGCTAAGAAAATTGAAGTATCCATTACAGGCACAGAGTATGTCCGTTGGACAGAACAGGTTCTTAAACCCCGTTTCAGAGATGGTCGGATGTGTCAAGAATATGAAACTGAAGAATATAAGTACGAACAAAAAATCCTGGACCAATCATTGATACTGTGGAAATCAGAAAAGGAATCATACGAAGAGATTACAACAATGGATCTTCCATTCCAGATTCAGTTACCTAAAGATTTGCCACCGTCAATGGATTTGGAGATTGGGAAAATTTATTATCAAGTCAAAGCAAATTTTGAAAGAAAAAGTAACTTTTGGAAATTACAAGGTTCACATAAGTCAATTAAATGCATGTGCCTTGTTACACGGTACAGTCCAATGCCAGAGCCATCACCCATGCAATGGATTCAATGGATCGACCAAGAGGCCTGGAAACGCGGACTGGGTTATAACATTTCAATGAATCATGATACATTTGGTCCCGCAAATCCTATTATTGTGAATTTCGCTATGAAAATCCTAAAGCAAGGTTTAAAAATAAAAGAAGTATTTGTTGGATTGAAAGAATATCGAGAGTTTAGAGCTGATAATCATAATAAGTCTACGAGAAACTATATTCAGACAGTGAAAATGTCAGGAGACCAATTTTCAGAAGTAACGGATGAATGGGCACATGAATTTAAAATCAACGTGCTCGAGAATGAAGTTAATTGGACTACTTCAAGACATCATATTGATGTATATCATTGCATTAAAATCAAGATCAAGTTTGGACTTTTAGGCCCCAAAAATGTTAATATAAAGAGAGAAATTAAAATTGAGAATATTTCAGACGTCAAATATTATTAAATGTGTAGTAATTCCTGTTATTACGTTTTTTTTTAAATAAATATATACTGTACATATATATTTTTTATGAATATAATATAAATTTATTCAAGTCTTTAACGGATTACTTAATCATTCATGGTTCATAAATATCGCTGATATAGTTGTTTTTAAAAGTGCAAATAGACATCTATTTGTAAGGCAAAAAGGACAAAAAAAAAAAATAATAAAACATTAAATACATATCTTTGTTTATGTTTACATATAATAACTATTGGTATGCCATACAAATACGAAGACAGATAATTAATATTACTTTTTAAACAGTTAGCAATATGGAAAGTGATCAAGCTATATACAGTAGTTTGCATATCAAATTTATTTGTTTGGTTATTTAAATTGTTAAATCTTATTCAACAACTAGCAATTAAAATAAAAAAATCTTATTTATTAAAAAAAAACTATTACTTTGTATTAATTCCTAAATGATTTTTATTATTAATATTTTAAAAATTTTAAAATCTTAATAAATACATATAATACAATTACAATATACAAGTATTTTTTTTAAGCAAACAAGTATTAAATGCAAGATTTTATTTAAACTATAGTTTAATATTAATACATTAATAATCTTTATAAAAGTAAATTATACAATATACAAATATATATATATTAATTATTATAATATTCAAATATTTTATTATAAGATATAGATACTTTCTATTATATATTAAAACTATACTTATATTAATAAAGTTTATCTTAAAATAGCAAATATTATAAATATTGGATATATACTGGATATATATTGTCATATATTATTTCTACCTCAGGAAAAATATAAAAACAAAGAACTAGTAGCAGGGAGACACTTTAGATAAATGGAACCAATATGGTAT